TATTGCCAGGACACCTTGTTTCTCTTTGTCTTAATCATTTGTTTTGCTTTCCTCTTGTCACAGGCAGGCTCTCTCCCTGAATTACAGCAAATATGGCCTCAGCAGTTCTTGAATTACACGGGGGCTGTAAACACGTATAATCTGAGTAAGGAAGAGTCCCTGCACCCATAGCCATCCCTGATGAAATTCTCTGACTAGTGCTGGGTCAAGCTCTGTGAGTCTGAGTCATAAACCCAACCCTCTGCCTGGCGAAGTGGGACCAGGTCTGGGAGATGCAGGTGCCCAAAGGAAAAAGGGTTACTCCCATTAGAAAAAGTAGAAGGGCAGTTCTGGCAGGCATATATATAAGAGACTATCTAGCAGAGAAAGAAACCAAGAAATTGCTTTTTTGGAGGAGAAGGCACAGAAGACTGTTATACTTTTTTATATAGATTTTCTTTTTCAAATATAACAAAAGCTACTTATCATAGTAATCAAGACTTCTAGACACCCCCCATACTGAATTTACATTTAACATCCACTTAAAATCCTTTAAATTATCAAGTTGCCTAATGTCCAAAGCTTGTTTACTTAAATCGTTAACATTTCCTGAATACCTACTGTGTGACTTGTTGACACTTTCCATTTATTGTTGAATCCTCACAATACTCTATTAAGTATTATTTATATTTTACAGATGAGGATATTCAGGCCCAGAAAGGCTAAGTAATTTGCCCCACGTCACACAACTAGAAATGAAGTGTGATTAGAGCCCAGATTTGCCTGGTTCCAAAGCCTATAGTTTTACTACTTCATGTTTATTTATTCCTTAGTTCAACTTATTCGTTCACAAGGACTTGAGGATTGAGCTAGGTAAGTGCACTGGGGGTAAATAACTATGTAAGTGTATTGACAACCTACTGAAAAAGTGTTAATAGTCTTTTTTTTTTAAGATTTTATTTATTCATTCGACACAGAGAGAGAGAGAGAAAGAGGGAACACAAGCGGCGGGGGTGGGGGTGGTGGGAGAGGGAGAGCAGGCTTCCCACTGAGCAGGGAGCCCAAAGCGGGGCTCAATCCCAGGACCCTGGGATCATGACCTGAGCCGAAGGCAGACGCTCAACGACTAAGCCGAGCAGGCTTCCCACTGAGCAGGGAGCCCAAAGCGGGGCTCAATCCCAGGACCCTGGGATCATGACCTGAGCCGAAGGCAGACGCTCAACGACTGAGCCACCCAGGCACCCCAAGAGTGTTAATATTCTTGATATGGAGAGAGCTCTTAAAATCAGAACAATATTTTAAAAAATTAGAACAATATTTCAAAAAATACATGAAGACTGATTAGTAACAAAAGTGCAAATAACTTTCAAACATATGAATAAGTGTTGATCCTCACTGGTGATCAAAGGCATAAAAATTAAAATAACAATGTCAGTTTGGGGGTACCAAATAGACAATGATTTTCTTTCTTTTCCTTTCCTCCCTCCCTCCCTCCCTCTTTCCTTCCTTTCTTCCTTCTTTTAATTGTGTAGGGAAGGGATCAGGGAAGCAGAGACCCTCATACAAACCGGTGAGAGTAAATACTAGTACAATCCCTTTATTTCCCCAAATCTAGCTTTTTAAGATTATTGTGAGCAAACAGCAATCCCCTGAACCCCCACCCCATCAATCCATTTCCCACAACCGTTTTCAACTTTTTAGCTGATTCTTAATATCTGAATTCTTAATATTTCTAACAACATGCTCATATCACTACTTTGTGAGTTTTCAATTTTAGGTGTTTTCTTGAGTTTTCAGTTGTAGGCATTATCCATTGATTTTCGACTTTGGAAGACGGGAATTTAGCTCTGTCCTCGCTAGTTACTATCCTCCTATCTTACTAATTCAGTAATATCATAATTTGGCTAGCTTAATATTCAATGTTTATGTGATTATGACTACATAAATGCCAGTTACAGTCGAGCCACATGCTACACTGTACTTTACCTTTCCTGTACATTCTGTTTTCCTTGAAATTAAGTTATCTTTTGTTTGTTTAGCTTTTCATGGGCTCATTATTAACTCATTAACTAGTGTTGTTTTCCATTTTCTTGGCAATATCTAGTGACTTTGATTTCCTTGAAGTCTCTTTGAACCCTCTGATCAGATCCTATGGAGACTGGTAGCCTTTTGGCCTGCTGCACAGCTGTCTCCTTTGGCTCTGTGTTCATCAATTAGGGATTTCCTTTTCCTTTCTCCTGTGCCACATCTTTATCTCCCTTAGTCAAATGCCTTCCTCTTTCTTGGCTTCCCCTCTCTCTTCCTGAGGAAAGGTACATCAAAATACATTGTTTTTGAGATTTTTACATGTCTGAAAACGTCTCTTTTACCTTCACTCTTAATTGATAGTTTGGCTGGGTATGTAATTCTTGAAAATAATTTTCTTTCAGAATTTTGAAGGCATTGCTTCATTGTCTTCTGGCTTCCACTATTACTATAGCAGGCAAATTTCTCCCAGGGGCAAGTATAATGTATAGAGAATATACTTCTTGCCCTAATGTACCCATAAATAAAAAATACACCATTTATACAATCAACAAACTTAAATATTGTAACTCAGTGCAAAAGTAAAATAAAAAGTTTTCTTATTTGCATCTTTCTTATGTTTTGTAAACAGGCACCTGGGGGTATACTGTCTCTCTCTTTTCCCTTTGGCTATATGACTTTGGAAGTCCAATGCTATTCTGATTCTTAATTCTTAATGTAAAGCTTGATTTTCTCCCTGAAAGCTAGCAAATGTCTTTCTTTGTTGTCAGTTTACTGGAATTTCACAAACAGCTTCCTTTGGCTAAGCCTTTTTAATCTGAAAACTTGCATCCTTCATTTCTGGGGAATTTTCTTCAATATTGATGATTTCCTTCCCTGTTCATTGTGTTCTCTACTTCAGGAACTCTTGAACTCTGGAACTCATTCATTAGAATTCCTGGACGGATCCTTTAATTTTTAAACTTTTTCTTTTCCTTTTCTTAATATTTCTGTTCCTTTTTCTGGGAGACTAATGCAACTTTATTTTCCAACCTTTCTCTTGAGTTCATTTTATTTCTGCTACAAAAATTAGTCTTTACACATAACTATTTTTTTTTGTTGTTGATTCTCTTATCTTTATTTTTCAAGTCATTAATTTTTGTCTTTAGTATTCTTTTTTTCAACTTCCTTTGGATTTAATCTGTTTTTCTTTTTTATACTTAAGTTGAAAGATTAGTCCATTAATTTTTAGCCTCTAAGCACAGTAAAGCTTTAGATCCACATCACAGGATTTAATTGGAGGCATTTTCATTAATGTTCAGTTCCAAGTGTTTTCTAATTTTATTTTCTTCGTTGACCCATTAGTATACAGAAGCATATCTATTTTTAAAAAATGTCATAAAATTGATTTCTTGCTTAATTGCATTAAGATCCAAAATTGTGTTCTCTGTTCTTTGATTTTTGTTGAAACTTACTTTATGGCCTTTAACATAACTCATTTCTAATGTTCTGTTTGTTCTTGCAGATAATGTGCACTCTCCAATTTATGCTTGCTATTTTTTCTGTATGTTAATCAAATAAAACTTGTCAACTGTGGCTGTGCAAATATCCTATATATTTACTGAGTCAGCTTAAATTAAAATTATTGGCTTATATTTTCTTTATAACAAGCAAATACTCTATATTCAGGCATCAAACCCACCTGAGTTTCAGATAGAAGCCACAAGTTATTAAAGAAAAAAAAGTTCTACCTAGAATCAAGCAGATAGGTGTGATGCCTTATTGTCTACCTCAGCAATTTTTTCTCCTAGTCTGCCATTTAGCTAATTGTGTAGCCCTTTTCCCACCCTGGCTTTATGCTGGGGTCTTCAATCTACTCTTTGTCCTGTGTGTCACCTACAGCTATAGGCACCTGGGAGTAGATGTTTTCAGGGCATCCAGCACCTTTGGTGATTCCTCAACAGACTCTTCCTCCAGCTTTATTCCTGAATTTAGAGAATTTTTCCTACTTTCTTATAAGCTTACTAATTCATTTTAAGTGCTGTTCTGAAATATTTTATCCAGTGTTATTGAGTATTTTATGTGTGTGGTGGTGTTCCTCCAGTGTATATTTCTTACCTTACTCATCTCTCTCAACTTCTCATGTTCTTGCTCACTCTATTTCATAAAGGCTATGTATTCTTACACCCTTAACCATGACAAGCAGCATTTCCCCCCATCACTGTAATATATTTTCAGTGATTTACCTATCTTTTGAATTGACATGCTATTTTTATTTTCTTTGTCTCACAGTATTTTTAAAATGGATTCCATTTTTCTCCTTTTTACTTATTTTTGGATATAGAATATTCCATTGATCCTTACCTGGTCTTTGCCAGCAGACAGACTGGTCAAATTGTCTTTGGCCCTCTTGTCTGTCCACTTGTATGCTGGTCAAATTCCCTTCACAGATCTTAAGATCTAGCAGGCTTTGGCTCTTGTGGTTCCTTTGGGTTCCTTCCCATACTCTGAATAGATGGAGTTCAAGAAAGCCTAAGTTCAAAGTATTCTCAGGGCTGCTATTCCTGCCATGTCTTTGTCTAAAAACATTTCATGATATATAGGGGCCATCATCTGTTCTCTTCTTTCCTCTTTTCTCCAATTCCTTGTTCAGTTTTTATTTTATTTTATTATTTTATTTTATTTTAATTGCTTGTAGATAAGGGTAGAGCATTACAAATTGTTTTAGAAGAAGTGCTGAAGAGGATCACTAGGTGGTGGGACAGCTTTAGCAGCAAAACAGAACAATGGTGAGAACTGTTATCTAGTTTTGTGACTAAAATGTGTGGCATGCAGGTGATCGCCTATAGATATTGCTAAAAATGCATATTCTTGGGCTTTTCAGACCTACTGAGTCAGAATCTCAGGGTGGGGGTGGGGAGTGAAGCCTGAGAATCTACACTTTAACAATTCTCTAGATGATCGGGATGCACACTGAATTCTGGGAACCACTGGTGTGGACCTATGATTTCTTAGGAGGGCAAACAGTAAAGAGGGATGAAGCACCTACCTTTTTAAAACAGGGCATAACAGGGATGCATTATTAGTTGAATTTCCCATCCAGTTACATTAATATGGTAGGAAAAATATTCCTTCTGGACTCTGGAAAAAAGATTAACAATCAATACCAGTTTTTGGTAGTATGGTTTTTTAAAAGTATATGACTAGTTATTTCAGTGAGAATTTGAGAGAAATTACACAGAAGTTGTGATAGACATCTTTTAAAACTGAAGACCTCTGGTTTATCTTTCAAACATTGCTGAGGTCTACTTTTTCCGATTCAGACTCATTGCCACCAACAGGGGTTCATTACTGTAAGCAGAGACTATTTTTACTGCCACACAGCTAGAATTTGATGCTTCCTTTGTTCCTTACTCAATTCACAATTCACGTCACATCGAAAACATGATCAAAACATCCAGTGGATGGGGGCGCCTGGGTGGCTCAGTCGGTTAAGCGACTGCCTTCGGCTCAGGTCATGATCCTGGAGTCCCGGGATCGAGTCCTGCATCGGACTCCCTGCTCAGCGGGGAGCCTGCTTCTCCCTCTGATCCTCTTCCCTCTCGTGCTCTCTCTCTCTCATTCTTTCTCTCTCAAATAAGTGGAATCATTTTAAAAACAAACAAACAAAAAAAAACATCCAGTGGCTATGCAATCTGCCTATACCATGAAGTCCAAATTTCCAACTTCAACCAGCCATTCAAGATTCTTCATTGTATGATCTTTTCTTCCCTCTCCCATTCTCTCTAAGATTACGCTGTTCTCACCTGGCAGGTCTCATAGTCCCTGTCAGGACTTGCTTGTCAGGACTCTGAGCCTCTGCTCATGCTCTAATACCCACTTCTTTGTTTTTTTTTTTTTTTTTTAAAGATTTTATTCATTTATTTGAGAGAGAGAGAGAATGAGAGATAGAGAGCACGAGAGGGAAGAGGGTCAGAGGGAGAAGCAGACTCCCCGCTGAGCGGGGAGCCGGATGCGGGACTCGATCCCGGGACTCCAGGATCATGACCTGAGCCGAAGGCAGTCGCTTAACCAACTGAGCCACCCAGGCGCCCACCCACTTCTTTGTTTATCCAAATCTAAAGTGACAAAGTAAAGCTCAGGTGTTACCTTTTCTCTGGCTCAAATTTTTCCTTCACACTGCAGATCTGTCACTCTAAAATATCTTCATTTTCCCATTTCCTGGAGGATAATATGTAAACTCTTTCACCTCACATACAACACGGCCCCAATTCCTCTTTCCAGTCTTATCTCTACAAATTTTATGTACTTGACCTCCAGACACAGTAAATCACTCTCTGATTCTGGGTCTTGCCATGTTATGTCCAGCTTTCCGTACCTTTGTACATGCTCTTCCCTCTGCCAGATATGACTTACCCTTTTCTCCCCTTGAAAAACTCAAATATCCTTCAAGACCCATTTTAAACTCGCTGTGAAACCTCTGACCACTCCCTGGTGAAGCACATCACCCCAGAGTATCTTGAGTCTAAATATCCTAAACATGGATCTCACTGTATTGCAATTCTTCATTTGTAGGTTTGTCTTCTGTACTGGATGTGGGCCCATTGCTAAACAGTACCTAGTAGGGTACTGTTTATCCAACAGTTGCTTGAAAAATGTTGCTGAATGCTTGAATGCTGTAACCTGTATTGATTTCCCCATTGTCTCAACTCCAAGAGCTCTTAGTGCTTACATCAGTCATTTTGCTCAGTTTCCTCACATTGTTCTTCTGTCTCAAGTGTATGCCGGATTCCAGCAAGATTACATAGAGATGTCCTGATCGAGACTTCACTTTTCCAGCCTCAGTGTCTTCACCTGTAAAATAGAGGATAATAATAGTACCTCAATCAAAGTGTGAAATGAAGTATTGCACTGAAGTGTTTAGCACAAGCCCTGGCACATAGTATGAACACAAAGTGGGACAAACATTTCATACACTGTTACATCTTGCATTTCTGTCATTTCCCCCTAGCAGTCACATAGGGCTCCAGTGAAGATGATATGAGAACATACACGTGAAACCATATTGTAATACACTATGCAAACATTTACCTTTATTTTCACTGTGTCCTAACTAGGTTAGAAGCCTGTTTCAGCCTTCACCCCTTAGGTCCTCAGCAAGATGCACAAAGCCTTATTCAGCTCAGCTTTTCTTTCACAGCCTCCTATCACCTCTCAGCACCTGTCACAGGGTTAGGACGTAGTAGGTGCTCCATTAAAGAGAGTGACAGCTCCAGAATTACCAAGGCCTCTAGCTGCAAGTGAAGCCTTCTGCATTCTTTTTGTTTGCTGTTTGCTTGGTATTACTTGATTTAAACACTTTGCCTTGGTCAACTCACTCCTGACATTTTGGAGATGCTGCTTAGTTTGTTTTGTGTGCGCTCTTCCACCTTTGGCCAGTGGCCTACTTTTTTCCTCTTACTGAAGACATAAGTTATATTTATATAACTCTTCCACTGCAGAATGAACAAGTGCTTGATTTGGGTCCTTTCTGATATTTTGGCCGTTTGTGTATATCACTAAGATGTGACTTTTGCATTTAGAATATAAGACGTGGTAATACACATACAGGAAAAAAAAAAGATAAAGGATAAGACTTTCAAATACTGTATGGAAACACAGGTATGGTTACAATGAATCGAAACAGGTGAAAGTTCCCACAATCTCGAGAATACGTACGCAATTTCTGAAAAGGATTTGAAGCAACGTACAGGGAAAGCGCAGTATAGAAGACGGGGCCCATTAACCAAGAAACGAAGACTTGCATTTGAAGAGTTACATCATGACACGCTCCTAAAACCCTGAGGCATTTCCTGAACTCAGAGTTTACGGGACCACCCGGCAACGACTGGAGCCCGACCTGGTGAATCCAGGCGAACCGACGCAGGTGCGGGCGAGGCCAGCCATGGAGCCCAGGCCCCGCAGCTCCGCCGCACGAGTACCCGGGCAGCGGGCCGGGCTCAGCGCTCCGCCGCGCCCGCTCGGCTGTCGGCCCCGGGCGGCCGGTGCCGGCTTCCGCGGCTCGCGCGCCGCAGGATCTCTCCGCCCGCGTGGGCCCGGGCGGCCCGACACCGCTGAGCCCGCCGCGCCGGGGGAAGGAGTTTCCGGCGGACTCGGCGCAGTGCCGCTTCCTGTCCCTCTCGCCGCGCCGCCCCACGCTCCCTATCCCGGACGCGGCTCGCGCGGGACCCGCTCCCCGGCCCCGGCGACACCCCCCCCCCCCGGTGCCATGCAGTCCCGGCTTCTGCTCCTCGGGGCGCCAGGCGGCCACGGCGGCCCGGCGGCGCGGCGCGTGCGGCTGCTCCTGCGACAGGTGGTGCGGGGCAGGCCCGGCGGCGACTGGAGGTGGTCGGAGGTCAGACTGCTGCGTGCCGGGGCGGGGGCCGACACAGGTAATCCCGGGACGCCCTTGCTGTCTGTGCGGGGGGAGGAGGGACTGCGCTCCCGGGCACTCCACTCCACCCCACTCCCTGCTGCGCCGCTTGGGAAGGAGCGCTGCTCGGGAAGCCAAGACAGAGACGTTCGAGTCCCCGTCTCGCGGCTCACTGCTGTGTAACGCGGGGCCAGGCGCTTGCACTCTCTGGGCCTCATTCTGTAGCCCGAGGGAGCGGCGCTAAGGTTTCTGATGACCTGGAATAGTGCATTCCCCTTCCCTCACTGCTGCTTTTATCCCCAGGATGCTGATTTGGATTACAGTACTCGCTGGGGTTAACGCAGGAGCCCTCAGGAATTGTTGAAACCTGGACTTGACCTTGCCCTCCGAGTCTCAAGGGTCTGGAAGCCGGGTTTGTGTCCTGTTCCAGCTAGGGCTAGTGGCGGCTTAGAAGTGTGCCTTCTTGCCCAGGATCCCATCGTTACAGTGTTTTAAACGTATACGCAAGCCTTTCTAACTTTTCCAGGGGTTTTCCTTTCTTACAGTGCTCACATCTTATTAGAGCTGAAAATCACAACTTAAGTTTAAAACTCACGACTGTACAACTGAATAATTGAGACCCAGAAGGGAAAAGTGACTTGAGATCACATAGCTCACTAGTGACTGCTTTAGAATCACGTGCTCTGATTCCTAAACTCAGTTTTTTTGTTTGTTTGTTTGTTTCGCTTTGCTTTGTTTTTGTTTTGCTTGTTTGTTTGGATCTACCAGAGCTGGTTTTAGGAATCTTTTGTTGTTGTTGTATGTTGGAATTAGAGCATTTGTGCTGGTTAAGGGGAGGGATGTATGTTGTTGCTGCTCTTGAATGGCAAAGTGATTCTAAGCAAGATGTTGTCAGTGTCACTGTCGCTTAGAATAATGGAGGTTTTTACTATGAACTTGCAGGTTTCATTGTTCCTCTTGCAACTCCGCCCCAATAATTTTCCTTGCCAGGAAGTTTAGGTCCCATACCTTCCATCCATCCATCCATCCATTCATCCATTCATTCATTCATTCAACAAATGTTTTTTTCTTTCTCCTGTGTAGAGTTGTGATTTCAAATTTTGCCCCTTTATCGGTTATTGTGACTTCTATGGTGTTTGTTTATTTGTTAGAGGTTTTTGTTTGTTTGTTGCTTCTTTGTCCTAGAAAGCAGAGAGGACAAGGGTAGAAGTGCAGCATAATCTATAACTTGGGCTTTGGAGCGAAACAAACAGGTTGGCGTTAAAAAAATGGGTTGGAGTCCATTTTTGCATTGTCTGGATATGGATACTTGAGGGTGGGTTACTTAATTTTGTGTCCCAGGTGTCTTTTTTTTTTTTTTTTATGTTCGGTTAGCCAGCATATAGCACATCATTAGTTTTTGATGTAGTGTTCAATGATTCATTAGTTGCATATAACACCCAGTGTTCATCACACGGCAGGTGTTGTGTCCCAGTTTTCTTAACTGTAAAATGAGGATAAGGAGAGTACACTTGACAGGATTGTTCTGAGGATTTACTTATTTCATGTAATTCCTGCCACATATAAAAGTTAACTTCTTTATAATTCTTCGTATATGTATTTTCAGCTATACGAGAGTTTTTCTGTTCCCTTGGCTTTAGGTGAAATGAAGCCAGTTATTTTAGGTCTAGAACTGTCAGAACTAGCTGGGTAGGCATATGGAAAAAAGTTAATTGATATGAACTTAAAAAAATTGTTCTTTGTAAAAGAATAATGTTGATTATAAAAACATTAAAAATGTCCTCAAAATTATGTCCAGCAAATCAAAGTACAGGGTTTGCTTCAAATGTGAGACTCATGAACACATTACAGACAACATACTAACTTCTTAGACTCAGTCACTGACCCTAGCAGGATCATATCACAAGGAATAAATTGTGCTAAACCTACTTGCCTTGCTGTTGCAAGGTTGAAGGTAGGAGGACTGTGGATGAATGTAGTTGGAACCTCACCAGAGATATGAATTCTATTAAGAACAATTGAGAGCTAGGGGCGCCTGGGTGGCTCAGTCGTTAGGCATCTGCCTTTGGCTCCGGTCCTGGTCCCATGGTCCTGGGATCAAGCCCCGAGTCGGGCTCCCTGCTCGGCGGGAAGCCTGCTTCTCCCTCTCCCACTCCCCCCGCTCATGCCTCTCTTCCTGTGTCTCTCTCTTTCAAATAAATAAAGAAATAAAATCTTAAAAAAAAAAAACAAAAACAGTTGAGAGCTAAGTAAACAAGAGCTCTTAGCTACCCTGGGACATAATGTTGACCATCAAGTTTGGAGTGTCTCAGTTTGAACCAGAGATCATACACAGATAAAACCACAAATAGCACTATGCTGCAGTGAGTTACAGTTTAGGTTGGAAAGATGCTCCCAGCTGCATACACACGTGACCAGTAACTCATCTCTGCATGTGACTGACCTTGCCTGCTAGTAGTTTGGAAACAGAGCAACAAGGTACATAAGCAGTAGATTCACATTATATACTGTTCTTATTTCTCCTGGATTGTATGTATGTCTTATTTGTCCTTATATTCCTTTTGTTGCCTGTCAACATTTTGTACCTAATAATAAGCACTCAGTGGCTTAAAATGCTAAAATTCATAGAGAGAAGGAGCAGGAGAGGCTGGGATTGCCTTGTTGGCTTTCAGGATAGGAGCTTCATAAAGCCTTGTAAGCAGAAGGAGGAGAGGGTCATTTATGTTAAAAAAAAAAAAAAATCCCAAACCCACTGCTTTTTATCTTTTGCTATTGGATAGTTTAAGTATCCATAATTTGTAAGTTCTTTATATCTCTTTATACTTCAATAAATAGTATTGTCTCTTAGTTTTAGGAACAAAGAGATTTACAAGGAGGTTAGCTACTGCAAAGAGTTTTCTTTTTTTAAAAGATTTTATTTATTTATTTTCCAGAGAGAGAGAGAGAGCACAAGCAGGGGGAGCGGCAGGCAGAGGGAGAGGAAGAAGCAGGCTCCCTGCTGAGCAAGGAAGCCCGATGGGCGTCCTAGAGTTTTCAATAAAGATTATTGGTGTTTTCACAGATGGAGCCAAACGAGTTGGTTCACTAGGACTCTGACATTAAACAGGTTTAAATATACCATAGAGCAAGATTAGATGATAAACTTGGAAACATAACTGTATAAATCTACCATGACATGTTTAGTGCTGTCATTTAACACCATTGTTATTAAAAGGATTCACTGTTCTATCTTTATGACTTTGTGTATGAAATACATTTGTTTAAAGAAATATTTAAAAATACTTTTTGTACAAGAAATTTGTGTTCATTGTAGGAAAGTGAAATACAAATCCCCTAAGACCTAATTCTCCCATGCAAAGTCGTAATTGTCAATTTTTTGGTGTTAATGTTAGCAGATTTTGTAAAAATACATATAATATTTGTATAAATACACATTTCTTTTTTAAAAATGGGATCATGTATGTTTTATAATTTATTCTCACTTAACCATTATTGTGAACATATTAACAAAATGATAAATATTGCTATACATGATTCTTTTAAGTATATATTAAGTTCATGTATTTATCCATATAATTTATTCTACCAGTTTCCCATTCTTAGACATTCAGTTTATATGTATGTATGTATGTATTTATTTATTTAAGTAATCTCTACACCCAGTGTGGGACTTGAACTCACGACCCCGAGATCAAGAGTCGGATGCTCGACCAACTGAGCCAGCCAGGTGCTGCAAGTTGTCTGTTTTTAAATATATAAAAAGTGCAATAGACATCCATCCATGATGCATTTTTTTTTGTGATTTTAAGATTTTATTCTTGGGCTACAATAGAATTAATGACTTTGGGGAGGGGAAGTAGAGAACTCTTGCTTCAACTGAGAAATACAGTGTAAAGGGAAAAACTGCACTATGGTTTTAGATCTGTATTTACTGGGTATTGAACTTTGGGGAAATTATTAACTACCCTGAACCTGCAGCAGGCTATTGTGACTCTGGGGACATTGTGACCCTTGTATATTAAAGAATTTAGCAGTAAAATCCCCAAACAGTTGTTACCTAATAAAGCGTTAGGAAGACCTCTGTTAGGAACATGCAAACTTACTTGGAATTCGCTGATATATTTGGTTTTCTCTTGGGTCTAATTTTTGTATTAAAAAAAAATGGTGGGCCCCTGAGTGGCTCAGTCGTTAAGCGTCTGCCTTCAGCTCAGGTCATGATCCCAGGGTCTTGGGATCGAGTCCCACATCGGGCTCCCTGCTCCACGGGAAGCCTGCTTCTCCCTCTCCCATTCCCTCTGCTTGTGTTCCCTCTCTCTCTGTTGAAAAATAAATAAAACCTTAAAAAAAAAAAATTGGTGACATTAAATCAG